GACTCCTCAGTTACCACTTTAGGAAATGGTCATTTTGGGGTAAAACACGAGGTGAAGTTAACTAGTGTGAACCAGTGAACTTTGCAGTCCAGTGAATTCTAGTAACTACAGCCATACGTAGATACAGTTAGGGGTAGGGAAAGAGGTTACCTGTCTACACCTGAAAACATGACAGCTCCGCTGAAGTTATTCGAAGATAGTCTCTCGAATAGAAGGCGATCACGTGAAGGCCAATCTAGTGGTAATATCGTTCGGTATAAAAGCAGAATTATAACAGCAATTATGGTTAATTACGATGGTTAATGCCCTCTGGCCACCACTTGAAACATTTGGAAACTATGTAATTGTTATCGTTTTGCGTCGATCATACGTTGAAGTCAACATCCTCTCCCCCGGGCATTCCCCTTTGCTTTTGAACTTTCGAAGATTTGGGCAAAAATTGGGTTCACATGCCCCACCCAATTTCTTCGGGAAGACACGAAACAAGCGACCGTGACTTTCTACAAATGGACCACGCTTTAAAAATGAGACCTAGAGGACCTTTTCTTTTGTGCCATTTGGTCGCGAAAAGAAATATTTACCTTCCTTCAAATTCAAACATTTGTATTCCGCTGGAAAGACTTGACACCTCCGGTTCAAATTCCCCACTCTAGCTAGGCAAAGTTCAAATTTCCCTTTACCTCCTTTCCTCCGGCACGGATGACGGTGAAATACTCGTGGCCGTGGGTTCCTCGGGAGTCAAGGTTAAAGCTTTAAATTGACCAGGGCACGAGTTGAGAATCCTGAATGGCTTGAAGGCTAGGGCTTTCCACTTTCGCAACTCATTGAGTAGACGATTCTCCAATGAGACCTTGTTCGCAAAGCCATGATTAGCAAGAACACGAATTTTGTTTAGTAACTTGGAACTCGGAGCAATTGCAGCACAGGTGTAATTTTTTTCGTCTTATAGGCGAACGGAGATAAGCGTCAGGCAGGCGCGAAGTGCGTGCCATGCGCAAGTGGAGAAGCGCAAAAAAATAACGGCATCATTTTTTCTACGCCCCTATCATTGCACGTGACTCGCGCCTTGCGCCGCCTAGCGCGTTTGCCTCTGTTGAACTGAAGCACACAAAAAAGTACGCCATTTCTGCAGGTTAGTTTGTGTGATTGATTCTCCAATCTCAAAGCTCAGTGAATAACAATCATGCACTCAATTAGGCAATATAATAGTCGTCTATCATAAGACACGAAGGGAAGCCAATCAGATGTCATCTCGCATTCCAGGCATAGTGACTAACCACTTCCCGTGAATCTGCCATTTCAAGCATCATTTTAAATGCGACTGCACGAAATACAACTTTCTCTTCAGTGGCTGCATATCTCTGCGCCATAAGTAGCGTTTAGACAAAGAGATGCAGTCGTGATTTTACGCGATGAATTGCTCAAAATGTAAATACACAAATTTGCAACCTGCTTTCCGATTCTGCCCAGGTTGTGGTCTTTCTCTGGCACTCGATCAAATTAACCCACGGAAGGAGGAAGAGATCGTACCAGCTGTCACGAGCGAGCACCCGCAAGGCGATGGAACAGACACCGGTAAGTAAATCAGGAACAAGTTTAAGGTAAATTTTTCATTTGAAGGTGGTTCTGTGGATGTAAACCCCGCTCAAACATTTACTTAATGCGTGATTTAATTTTGTAGCGCTTCATGACTAGTTATAGGAAATGAATCGGTTAGTAGTGAATTATTGGCTTAATGTCAACATGGAAAGGTCTCAAATTGTCTTTCTGTGTTTAATTATGACTGAAGGTTGGAATCGTTATCATAATGATGGATAATTCTGGGCCCCTCGAAAGTAAAAGTGCTCCAAGAGTAAATATTTCCTCATGTGACGCATGTTAATAAGCCTCTCCCGGAAGCATCCTACCGTAACAAGTTATGCAGTTTTCTTATCCACTGCATTTGTATTTTGACTTCCTTTGCAGATCATATCATATTCAGCTAGTAGTATACTGATTCTTGTGGATTCATTAGTGAAATTTAAGTCAAGGAAACAAGGAATTCGCAAACTCTTAGTTCACTTAATGTCTCAAACTACTTTGTGGTCATGTGATTTTTTCGACTCCGTGTCGTTGACCGATCCAAATTTGTAGTGCTTTCGGAGAAAAAAAATCTGTCACGAGTGGTTGTGAGTTATCTGAACGGTAGATACTGCATTAGCAAATACAAAAAGATTAATTATCTGTTTAGTTGCAACCTTGATTAACATACACTTAACGCCCAGTGACCAGTGAAATGACAGCTGTCAATACTAATTGTTTGTTTGGCACTTTGAATCAAGATCATCACTTAAAATACACACTTTTTTTCTGCCCTCTCCCCATCCTTTTTTCTCCTTTTATGGTGGTTTTTGATTCAATCAGCTTTGACTCAGTTATAGTGTATACAAGTCATTCCATGGAGGTTTCCAATTGAGACACAACTTTGCCTTCTAAGGATATTGGCAGTTGCCCTCAACAACCTGGTTTAATAATAATAATAATAATAATGATAATAATAATAATAATAATAATAATAGGTCTTTATTGTTTTTAAGCAAAAATACATGCTAAAACAAGAAAATTTACATAAAAATAATTACAAGGCTATCAACATTACATAATATAAGACATTACTTTTAGAGCCTATTAAAAAAAACTATTTTTAAAACACTGGGTATTAACCCTAGGGAGTTGACTACTAGGAACTCGGAGGCGCGCTGAGCTTTCTTTCGTTTTAGGGTCAGAAGGGTGCAGAGGGTGACCAGGCATACAGGAGACCTTCTTGAATATTGAGCGATCAACCTCTTCTAATACACTATATATACCAATTTGGTGCGAAATATATTTACGTTTGAAGCAGTGCTGTAGAAAATTCTGGACTGTTGTTAGTTCAGCTATTGAGGAGGCATATATGGATAGACCATACATTAGTTTAGGTAAAACAATTGATCTAAAAACGTAATCTACATCTGGTTTTTGATATCCCTCTTGGCGCAAACTCCTTATCACATAAAGACACTTATTGGCCTCTTGCAGCTTACCCTTAATATACTCATTAAACCAGTGATTACTCTGTAAATTAACCCCTAACACTTTTAAACAAGAAACTTGCGTTATATTGTTCACAGGGTCTATATCATGAGCAACCTTCTTAAGTATTAGTTCATTACATTTTTTGGGATTACATGCCATGGCATTTGTTGGGTCCAACTGAGAAACTGATTGACAACCTCTTGAGAAAGATCTATTTCATTTTTACATACTTTGACTAGTAAGGTAGTGTCGTCAGCATATTTAACTATGCTGGTAAGGTCACTATCACTAATGCCTAAGTCGTTGATAAACAAGTTGAAAATATGAGGCCCACTGACACTACCGGCCTGGGTTGTTCCTTTGTTCACATCATGCCATTTGTAGATAAAACCCTTAAATATTAGTCTTTGTTTCCTATCCATTAGAAAACTTAAGTACCAGTTGACAAGATAAGGATTGAGATGAAGAGCCTTTAGCTTTTCCCCTACTAATGGTGTTTTACATTATCGAAGGCTTTTGATAAAGTGTTGATGTTTGACCGAGAGACGTAGATGGTGGTTTTCCACTTTTTACCTGTTGTTATTTCAGATCATGTTTACGGTAGGTGCTCTCAACTGCATTAGACCGGTCAATATATTGGTCAAGAGTTGACCAACATATTGGTTGATAGTTGGTTGATATTTCTTAGACAGATCTTGGTCCAGTATTGATCATATCTTTGTGGTATATCAGTCATCTGTCAGTAATATATCGGTCAACTGTTGGTGGTGTATCAGTCAACGGTTGGTCAAATATTACTTGTGTGTTGAGTATCTTCAATTGACTGTCGTTTCACTTCTATTCAAGATTTCATTCTGAAACTTAGCCAAAACACTCATTTTGATGTGCTCTTTCCTGATGGATTGATTATTTTTTGATCAAGTATAATATGAAAAGTTTCAAGCAACTGTATTTGGGATTGTTTATATTAACCAGGTTATATTTATTTGAGTACTTTAAAATCCCTTCAGTCATTCTGCTTTTGAAACATTGTCCCACAAGCTGTCATGGCATATAACTTATCTGTGCTGCAATTTCCAAGGGAGAATTGTATCTTGAGTTAAATTATTGAACCATATGTATGACTAGTGAGTCAAACAAATTGGCCATTTTACAGTTGTGTACTTAGTTGCCAAGCCTTTGAGTCAGAGTGAGGCTAAAGATGACCTTGTTGTGATAGAGACCTGTATCTCGTTAGCATGATAACAAAGTGATTTACATTTGAAAGGCAGCAAGGTTTGTATCATAACAAGGTCATCCCTAGCCTCACTCCCATAAAGGCTTGGCAACCAAGCACACAACTGTAAAATGGACTATAGATGCATTGGTTTTCGTGAGTAGGAGGAAAATATTAAAAAAAAAAAAAAAAAANNNGGTGTTACACATTTGTTGTTGTGCAATCATATCTACAAATGGACCCTGAAGTGTGGTCATGAATAACAATATTTTAAGAAAGCAAGACCATGCAACCTATGACATTAGTAACTTCAGCCATGGCTATGAGGTTTTCAAGTCAATGACTTGAAAGCCTCATAGCCATGGCTGAAGATTCATATGTTGAATTAAAGCTTTTACAGTATTCCTTCACAGTATTACAAACTTTGGTAAAAAGTGTCTCGTGCATGATATCTAAGGGTTTTTATTGCAGTCTAGACCAAACCTAGTCTCCCTCGCAGCCGATAATAGGGTCGTCGCGCAACTCTCCTCCCCCACTAGAGCGTTGTGTGACGAAAGCACATTGAGGTTTGAGAAACCCAATTTGAAAACAGTTAGGTACTTACTAGAAAATGCATTCTAAGTTCATGTTTTCCAACCAAAAAATGTAGAAAATGACTAGTTCACAAAGGTCATTTATATTTACAGTGGATACCCTTGCAAAATGGACTGTGGAATTCCCACAAATTTTTTCCTAGGAATAAGAGGTGTCAATTTTTACAGTAAATTTGGACTGGGAATTCCTAGGAATTCCTAGAAATTCCCAACTGCAACAACCCTATTTCTAAAAACCTAAAAATTCCCAAAAATTCCATGTTTATAGCCAACAGTACTTGGAATTCTTAGGAATTCCTAGGAATTCCAACTCAGCACCAATCACTTCCCTGAAAGACTGCATGTAGATCTAAAAACTAGCTTGCCTGAAATTCCTAGAAATTTTTAGGAATTTCTAGGAGTGTTTAAGAATTATTGGGAATTTTAGGAAAACTTTGAGACAATAAATATAAAATAATTACATGCATTAATTAACTCCCAGCTAACTGAAAAATTCAAGTAGTCAATAAAATTTATTTACCTGCTTAAATCAGGTTTACATGTAAATTATTTTCTATTGTATATTAATTAACATCAACATGTAGTAATATTAGGATGAAATTTGATTTCTTTTTCTTTTCTTGAGAACTTCATAAAAATTATCCTCAATTACAGCTATTCATTTTAAAGTAGTCCTTATGAATCATTAAATTTGGTCTAATTGACTTACTGTGAATAAAATCTGTTGATTCTTTTCCATGAAATACAATAACTTGAATTATATTTATTGCAATCAGGGCTCGAACTTAACTTTTGAAGTTAATAGTCGAATGGCTAGTACATGGTCAGGATTCACTAGCCAAAAATGCATTTCTACTAGGCAAGTGTACAGCACAATACTATCATTTTTATAGATTAAACAAACACAAAAAAATGTAAAACTGCTGTTGCTATCAAACTGTAATCAATTTATTATACAACTGTACATAAAATTCATTGTATGTGTTCATGCTTGTTCGTTATTCCAATTACCTCGACAACAATAAAACCCAACTGTGCATGTACTGCTGCAGACATTACTTCTTTGTGTGACTTAAGCTTCTAGCTGCAAACAGCAGCTGCTCATTCAAAATGCCTAGTACCCTAGTAGTGTTCTGTATTATAAAACAGTTAATTAGGTGTTCCCAAGTGGTAGGAATGATCATTGAAGGCAATGATCAGTCCATCAATGTAGGCCGTCTGCTCCGTTCTGACTCCTCCAGCCAGCGCCCAACTGCTAGAACTGCAGTATAGTCCTCATGAGAAGGTCCACTAACAGCTATTCTCATCAACTCATCAATAGTAGAAACATTCAAGGTTGACCTCCAGTCAGTCATGATTCTGTTCATGCAAGAGTTTCCCCGCTCGCAGCAAGCAGTCTGGCAAGGAATTACAAGACATAGTTCCACTAAAATTAGCAGGTTTGGATAATCATCTTTGCAAAACATAAATTTGTTCTTCCAGAATTCGCTTTGCCTGAGTTCAAGTTCTGCTCTAACTCGCTGTACATGGAATTTCAGACTCATCCATTCATCAAGACAGTCATGCAGACTGAAGTTGTGCTGCTCTAGAGGTACCTGAAAATGACCATGTAGTGTCTGGATTTCATTTTCGCCATGTAAGAGCAGCCGATGCCTGTCTGTAACTGGCCAACCTCGGTGCTTTGTCAAGACAGCTGCTGCTGAGAATACTGG